GGTTAGCATTGAGGTTAAGAAGGCTAGCATGGGGTTAGCATTGAGGTTAAGAAGGCTAGCATGGGGTTAGCATTGAGGGTAAGAAGGCTAGTATGGGGTTAGCATTGAGGGTAAGAAGGCTAGTATGTCTAGTATGAGTTGTGGGTTAAGACGATGAAAAAAGCGTATCTAGCGAACGTATCTAAAATTGGTGCGCTAAGTAGCTATCGTATTAATACACTTTAATTTATATATCGTTAAGCATCTCCAACATTGAGAAATGGGTCACATTGTCTGACTTGTGACACACTTTCCGCCCATTTATACGCTAAATGTTTTGCCAGACTTGGCCAAGCCGACTCAGTCATGGCAGAAATTGCATTGCCATTTGGACAAAGGATTGATGATTTTTCTGAGTGAATGCTTCATCCTACAGTTCATTGGCTGTTAAGTCTTCATCTACACGGAGAAAAAAATAGGACTTATTGTCCTTGTTTCCTCAGCACTATTGCTATATTGCCCCCATCTTCATCAAGGGATCTGAAGAATATTCAGGCACAATTGAGTTAATTTAGTTAACCAAAATTATCAATTTTTAACCCAATTAACCCAGAAAATTAACCCAAAAGTTAATTTTAATTTTGGGTTAATTTTGATGTTGTTATAATTTTAATTTTGGTCAAATTTTAATTTTAGTTTAATTTTAATTTTGGTTTAAATTTTATTTTGGTTTAATTTCAATTTTGAGTTAATTTTAATGTTGTTGGTTAATTTTAATTTTGATTTCATTTTATTTTTGGGTTAATATTAATTTTGGGTTGATGGTAATTTTGGGTTAATTTTAATTTTGGTTTAATTTTGATTTTGGTTCCCGCAGGGTGGATGCCTTTGGCCGTATGATCCGCCGCCCGGGCAGACGCCACAACTCCCGCTCCGTCTCCAACTCCAGGTCTCCATCACGCTCCAGGTCTCGCTCCGTCTCCACCAACGGCAGCTCCAGGTCCCGGTCCATATCTCCACCTCGCTCCAGGTCCCGACGGAGACGTAAATACTCACTGTCCCCATCACGGTCTCGGTCTCGGTCTGACTCCCGCTCGGTCTCTGGGTCCAGTGACTCTGAACCCCGAAGCTCCCGACGACGCAGTACGAAGAAAAACCCCTCTAGACCCCTGGACCCCAGGGTCTCGAACTTGCCCCCCAGCAGTATAGGGTTCGAGGCGGGTCGTAAGAAGGCTAAAGGAGCCCTCGTCAAGCCCCAGGCGGTGGGGAGGTCCCGTAGGAGGAGGAGGAGTGTGTCCAGGAGCTCTTCTTCGTCGTCCTCCTCCAGCAGCAGCGGCAGCAGCGCCGGCGCCAGACGAGGTTCTCTTGTTTTTACTAATTAATTTTTGTTTAATTATGATTTGGTTATAATTTTAATCTGGTTTAATTTAAATTTTGGTTTAATTTTAGTTTTAGGTTACTGTTAATTTCTGTTTAATTTTAATTTTGGGTTAAGTTTAATGTTGTTATAATTTTAATTTTGGATCAATTTTAATTTTGGGTTAAATTTAATTTTGGTTTAATTTCAATTTTGGTTTAATTTCAATTTTGGTTTAATTTTAATACTGGATTAATTTTAATGTTGGGTTAATTTCAATTTTGGGGTTATTGTAATTTTGGTTAATTTTTTTTTTGTTGTTGATGTCTAACTTTGCTGTTCCATTTTTGTTGATAGTATTTTTTTAATGGTTAGCTTCAGTTTTATTTTGATTTAACGTTGTTTTTCTCACTTAAATTTATTTTTGTGATGTTGCTGGAAAATAAATGGAAATTTCCTTGTGTTGTAAAGAATTAGTATATAATAATTAGTACCTACATGAGTATAGAGTAGACTCGTATATTTAGATTCCTAACAAGTTCCATAATAAAGAATGCCAATCATAGTTTGAATTTGTTTCTAGTTGTGTTTCTGCCGTTGTCCTATAATCACTAAAGACGTAATTTTAAAGCGTATTTATTTCGTTCTATATTTAATTATTTACTAA